TATGTTTATATTATAAGTTTTAGATGTATTAAACTTTTAAAGTAAAGATTTTAATAAAATCGAAAATAAAAAACGTTGAGAAAAAATCAAGTTTGTATAAATGCAATATTATAAGATGAATTATATAAAAATTATAAAATCGTCAGGCCCTTTAATTATAACATTTTTCAAACTATATCAACAAATCTTTTTAATTTTTATTACCTAAAAAGATCCGTTTTTAAATCCTTTAGAAACTCTTTAGAATTTTCTTAGCACGCTAAAAGGCTCGTTTTTAACACTTTATAAAGATAATAATCTAAATCTATTTTTTAAATTTCCTGAAAAATTATACATCTTTGTATTATATATTTATTATTCTCCATATAATACATTCGTATAATATTCATGACATTTCAAATTTACGCGCGTCTCAATTCAGACAACCCTCAAGCTCCTCTTTTTCCATGAGGGAGGTGGCTGTCGTCGTTAAAATGTGTGTGTGTGTGTGTGTGTGTGTGTGTGTGTGTGTGTGTGTGTGTGTGTGTGTGTGTGGTGTGTGGTGTGTGTAGTGTCTTAGCCGTGTCAGGTGTATATATTACATGTGTACGTTTATATGTATGATATTGTCAGTGGTATGTACGGAATTTTGTTATTCATTCAAGACTGACGACATTTAAACAGTACGATCGAGACAGAAATGATGCTTTGGATGCTTAATCAGCATTAAATCGGTGCCGGAAGGTGCCGCGGAGACAAAGGAGCAACAATTGGGAAGATCGCCCGGGGGTTGTCAGCGAAAACAAAGTTGCAGGTTACGCGCTACTCATATCATGGCACAATCGACAACAAGCGGAACCTCCTCGCGACGATACATGCGGGAGCACGAAGTGCCATCCTCGTCGCGTTACGTGGACAGCGAATGGGAATCTAAAGAGGTAGCTCCTTTTTGCAGATTTAAATTGTGCCGTATTAATTATATACTTCAATTAGTCGCGTCCTGTTCTATATTTATAACATATTATGTTTTGTATAACATATTTACTTTTATTTATGTCATAATTATGTCGTAAACATACAATGTTATATATTTCATCTGTATCATTTGTACTTTGCTAAAAGAAATAGCAATGAATATAACATGACTTTATGCCTATTATTTTGCAAATAAGATTTTAGATAGCCTTTTCTCTCAATGAGTAAAATAAAGTTGAATTACAAGCTTTAGAACTTTTTATAGAAATGCTAAGTCTATAAATGTTTTATTGTCATTTATTTATTATTTATTTTGCTCTACTGGTTAACCAGAAATTATTAAACTCCAGGTTTATAACATTCTTTTTAGTATTTAATCTTAATTTCGCATTATATATAATCATGAATTCAAGTTTTTAATAGTTTATATTAATTATAAGTGAAGAGTTTCTTGAGAGATTTAGTTGACTATAATATTGTTTGTTAATGACTTTATCGATTAATTGCTGCCTGTATTTTCTCATCAAATAGGCCTTACGACAGCGAGAGCTTGAGGAAGCAAGAGCACGAGCGGCACAAATGGAAAAAACGATGCGATGGTGGTCCGACTGTACTGCTAACTGGCGTGAGAAATGGAGCAAAGTAAGGAATGAAAGGAACGCGGCTAGAGATGAGGCAAAGGCTTTGAGAGCGAAATTAGAGATTGCCGTTAAAGATGCTAATACTTTCAAGCATGAATCTCAAGAACTGGAACTGCAGAACGAACAGTTAAAGAAAGAGATGGAAAAGATACACATGATACTCTTGAAACATGCTGGGCAATTTGATCAACAGATTTTTACCATTCTGGAATCAGATCCGCAATTAAGAGCTACTTTTGGATTGGATGAACAACTGGAGTTTTACAACAATGTCGATGCTAGTGATGCGTTAGGTGCACAAAGGGATATGCTATCCTGTAAAAATTCACATGAAGTAGCAAATGTTGCTTCTGGAGGTCACAATATTCTGCCAGAAAGAGATATCGAGGAGTATGTTTTGCAAGGTGCTGTGCCAAAACATGCAGTAGAATTGTACAAGGAAAGTCCTAATAATTCGCTAGATAAAAGCATCACGAAATTAGTCACAGATAGTAACGTCAAAAAGGATGGATTGGAAAAACAACAATCACCTTTAGATTTGTATAACGAAGAATCTTTAACTCAGAAAATGTCAGAGTTACAAATAAAATTGGAGGAGGCAACGAAAACTATTTCTGTGGAAAGAGAGTAAGTTTTGCATGAAATCAATGTATAAAATTAATTGATTATGTCATATATAAATTTATTTTATTTCTGTAAGGGAAAACAATTCTCTACATCGGACTGTGGAAAAATTGAAAGCTGAAGTTAGACAATTAAGAGAGCAATGTGAGGAATTATCTGAGAGTAAAGCCGAAGCAATGAGAGAATTATCAGAGCTAAAAGAACGTTTTCAACTTGAACTCAGTGACGAACATATAGCGGATTTAATGGATAATACAAGTAATGGAGAGGGCATGGACCGTCGTTTGACAGAATTAAGGACAGAAGTAAGTTATTATATGAACATTTACAGTCATGTTTTCTTTAAAGAAATCTTTAAGTATTAACTAATAACGTACTTCTAATAAAGTTGTTAAATTCTATTTTTAACTTCTATATACATTATATGTGCTATAACATAGATAGATATTCTTACATCTTTATATTTCAAAATTTTAGTTAGAGAAACTTCAAGTTGAAAATGCAGCAGAGTGGAGTAAAAGGGAGAGACTAGAAACTGAGAAGAATTCCTTGGAACGAGAGAACAAGCTGCTCCGCTTAAAATTATATGAATTGCAAGAGAGAGCAGAATCGCGGCGACCACGACCGGTATCTACAGCCGACACAGACACGAGACAATTGCAGCACGAGATTCTAGTTCGCAACATGGTCCGTTCAATAATCTTACAAATTAATAATTCTTCTTAAAGTTAAGACTGTTATTACCTTGCCTTTCTTGTGCAGGTGTTACTTGAAGTGAAACAGTATCAAGCGTCGCTGAAACAATCCTTGGCGGAAAAAACAACGGAATTGTCACACGCGATGAGACGATCCGAGCAATATGAGGCGGAGGTAAAGCGAGTGAGAGCGAGAGTCGAAGAATTGAAGAAAGAATTGGCTGCCGCTCAGGATGAGGTTGATGCTGCTACAAACAATGTGCGGAAATTGCAACGGACCAACGAGGATCTCGTAGAGCAATTGGAAT